GTCTCACGCAGATCAGTAGCCCGAACACATGAGTCATGTATACTATTATTAGACCGAAACACTGGGATGATATTCCTGAAGCTACTACCTTATTAATTTTTTGCAGATCTGATATTTAACATTTTTTAAATGGGCGACTTCCATCCAATATACTGGATCGATGAATAAGTGAGTGACCTATAGCTTTATTGAGGAAGGTATATAGAGAGACAGGATACCGTGTTAGGGAACTTCAGACCCAGAGTTTGTAAAGCAAGGGTTTGCAGGGGCAGTGAAAGTTTATGTGTTCTGATACGAATCTAAAGGATCACATGGCACTTGAAGCGCTAAGAGTGGTTTTCAGATTTAATATTGTGAAACCTGGATACAATGTACATTATTTTGTTGATTATTTGTAACTTGAAGGAGTAGTTATCGGTTGAGTATGTTGATTTTTGTGAGCTGTCGGTACATTTTTGATTTCTTACCACCACCTAAAGATTAGTAGCAATGTCAGCTTATGAAAAGCCTGTTGAGAGGAATGGATCATATCTGTATCACATGTTTCAGAAAAACTGCGTATTTACATAAATTATATATTTCGTTGGCAGCTATATAACACTCTATGTTGTACTGAACACAATTAATTCTTGAATGAACCATCATATTCCAACTGTAAACACGTTAAAACTTAAATGCTTCTGGGATAAATTGGCATTTATTGGAATACAAAACAAAATAAAGAGGATTCAGTGTTTAGATGCTAGATCCAATTTTGTTCGTAAATTCTGAGATGTAATTATTCTTCGCAAAGGACAACTATGAATGATAAACGCCTGATTAGAAACTACCAAGCGATAACGACTCAACAAAACCACACCCTTCTTTTTATTGGAAAAAAGATATGTATGGAATTGCTGTGCTGTTGCTTTCTGTTTGCTTCAACGAACATGTAAATAATTAAGTGCAAATTGAACTATTTCTTAGAATGCTAGGCCGAAACATATTGACTTTTTCGAATTGTTATAAAGTATGGTAGTAATTGTCACGTCCAAGTTGTTGCTTGTTCCCTTTATTGAAGTACGGTATATCGATCTACTTGCAATTTACAAACCCAAATTAACAATAGAACCAAATTCCAATTTAGGTAATAAAGTTTATTCGCGATTTACAAATAGTCGACCCAGATGCCGTTCTAACAACAATACTTATGATAATTACAAAACGAACCTTCAATTTTGTAGGTTCTCGGAGCAAAATCTCCCAAATACCATACCAAAGACAAAGGAAACCAAAATGTCCGAAAACAATGATGTAAACAAACAAGTTCAGAAGTTGAGTAAAATGAATACATTCAGAAACACAGTAAAATTATCAGTATACAATATAAAGGTCTTAATCAGCCAAATTGTTAGGATATTCAGAAAAATATACCAATAATTATCATGTTAAGTCTAATGGTGTCCTTGCACTTTAAATGGACATTCCTTATTGGTCAATATTTATTTCACTTGTTAAATATTGTAAAAATGTTGTTTTCCATTTTATGGTACGATGTGATCTGTTTGGTTGGTATATAAACCCAGTATGCTTGGGATACATGATTCATATCACAGAGGCTGAGACTTGTGTTCTGGACTCAACTGGCTGGGCTAGACAGCGGAGCAGGGCCAATCGGGACTCTAGGTCGTTCGTACGTGTTTTTCGTATCGTTGATCCGGTCGATGAATATACTGCGTGTCTAATCTGCAGTCTACACACGTTACAACACAAATGTCTTCAGTTCTCCCGTAACAGTAATAGTAGTGAATGTAGTAGTTTCTAGGTTTGTTCAAAGACAACCTGTGGTGGCTACGAACATACAAGCATTCGACCATAAAAATGAGACCGCAAACGTACGTGAAACTTTGTGTTTCTATTAAGGTTAACTGGGTAATATTGTATAAACTAATTATAACCTTGTACAAACATTGTTATTATTATCCATTCTCCATCTGCTACTGGCTTGACTCAGAGTGTATCATACAGAATTATTTCATCCTAACGAGACCCTATACTACTAAACCATCATCTGCCGAAGAGACTGGAATTAAACTGTAGTGACTCACTTTTATCACGAGAACACGACTGGTTTAATGAAAACAATCATTATTACAACCAACTGTACCGGTGCTTGTTTCAACGTGCTTTTGTTTAACTGTGCTAATTACAGCCATTTTGTGCTTCCATTACCTTCCATTATTGTTCCGCGGTTTTTGGCTTTGTTCGCACGTACTCCACCTTCCTGCTTTCACTTGTACCATTTCTTGGCACGATCTTGGTATTCGTTCGATACCACGAGATCGCCAACGAAATAAATCTGGTTACGTTCAACCTACGCCTTCTGATTTCTTTGGCACGTGTTTCTCGGTAGCGGTGTTCATAGTCAATTGGGACTCGACGCCACGCTACAAAACTGTCAAGACAAGTGTATATGAGAAATTGTGGTGAGAGCAATCTTTAACTTAACATACTCCTGTTGTAGACTGTAGTTCAAATACAAGGCCAGATAACTACGGCACATTTATAAATTAAACTGTAGTTATTCGAGCGTACATGAAGCAGAACATTTTCACACTAATTTTGACCCTAGTTCAGTTCTTCGATTTCGTAGGATTGTGATAGGTATCTGACTACCGTAGTTTGTGAACTACAGTTGACGTATAGAAAATTTAATTTCGAATTTAATATATAGATTCATCCCGTTGGATAGCATAATGGACGTAGAGTAAATTTAATATTAAGCAAATTGAAGTAAGGATTTATATATGGTTTAAAAAAGTCAACATGATAAGCAAATGAACAGAAACACACAACGAAGAATGTATATAATGTATTCATGTAACAGTGTATAACTACGACTAAGAGAATTAGTGCAAAGTTGTTAGCAGTATTGACAATAAAATGCATTTGGGAATGTTCGTGGACTTAAGTTTGCAAGATTATTGATCGCAATTGAAGGATTCATTCGCTTTTCTAGATTTTAAACTCTGATTGAATAGCAATAAATTCGCGCAGGTCTGCTCTCTGTATTCCTACTCAAAAGGCTCATAAAAGTTCCCTGCCTCATAAAAGTCCACTGTTTAAAAATAAGGACAACAGATCGGTTGACCTATGATCGTGCCTGGTGTGTCGATCCTTTGTAAGAGTTTCTTCTTTCTCTTACTTACTCTTGTTACTCCTAATGGAGCATAGGCCGCAGACCAGCATTCTCAAACCCACTCTGTCCTGGGCCTTCATTTCTAGTTCCATCCAATTCTTGTTCGTTTTTCTCATGTCTGTTTCCACTTCCCGGCGCAATGTGTCCTTTGGTCATCCTCTTTTCCTTTGGCCTTGAGGATTCCATGTGAGGGCCTGTCTTGTGACGCAGTTGGGTGCTTTCCTTCTTTCCCTTAACAACAGATAACTAACTCACTACGCACAAGTTTACGGAAAACCTGAACCTACGCATGTTGTGTCATCAAGATGTTGAGTACATTACGTCTGTAGACTAAACGTGATATAAAAACATATCTTTAACCTATTGAAGTGCATCCTAGATTGATAAAGAAGCTAGCAAACTTTACAGAGAATCTCTTAAGCATGTTTTTTAAGTTGTTTGTAACCTAAGGCAAATTACCGAAGAACTGGAAAAATCCCATTGTAAGTTCTCTCTTCAAAACAGTTACGGGATTCAAACCTGAGAACTATCGACCTGCAAGTCTAGCCAGAGTGATTGCCAAGGCCGTGGGAAAGGTTATTCGGGGGTTATTTAAACATCTAGATGAATATATGGTCCTTTTTTGAACCCAGAATTGTTTTCGAACAGGTTATTCAAGTTCCTCAAACTTATCGGTAGCTCTTGACAGTTTGTATGGTCTAAAACATCAAAATCTGACTTTAGGTATAACCTTCATCAACTCAAGTAAGATTTTTGATAAAGTTCTACACGACAGACTGCTATCTAAGTTAAGTGATACGGGGATCGAAGGTTACTTACCCATGTTGAAAAAAATTTCTTAGTTGAGTGTAGGGAGAGAGTACAAGTCAACCTGAAGTCGTCCAGCTGAGAAACTGTGATTAGCAAAGCACCCCACTGCACATGCTGTTTTCCGATGACCTTCCCAGTCTTCCGTCATCACAAGTTTTTGCATGCTAGCAATACAAATTAATGGAGAGCGTTCTAAATTGGAGACGGTAGTTTGCAGCCTAAAAATGACCTGTAGAAATTTTCTGAGTGGTCTAGTCCCACGGTCGCCAATAAATGCCCCCAAATGCATTATGATGTATATTAGTCATCAGGGTACAAATGCACACACGGTTCAGACAAACAATTACCCGGGAGCTATCATCAGCAAAGTCTTAAAAACTACTTTACAACGCCGTGCAACAGCCTCCGAAGATTCTAGAACCTCATGGTTAGTAAGTAGACCCTTTAGCTATGTCATTGCTAAACCTTTTTGACTTTGTATACGATGTTTTTTCGTCATAAACATGGGTATTATATACAAGCACCCAACCTCTGTCTAAAATAAGCAGTCAGCTGCTGAGGACTCAAAGAAACGAAACTAAATGTATTCCCAGATTCTCAAGGCTGCTGTACGATAAGAAACTGGCCAAACTGAACCTATTTCTCATATCATGTGGAAGAAACAGAGGCGAAGTGATCATTCTAAAAAGTTGATGAGGCCAGAATTAAATTACTTGTTAACTGACTATCAACTTTTCCATCGGATCATTAACGAATAGAACTTGTGACTTCAAGTGATTGAAGCTCCATCTGTCGACATATTCAGAGAAAATTAGGTCAACCAAGAGAATACCATTATCAGAACTAAAATAAGCCATTGAGTCCCCTGCTCACTCCAAACCGAAACTGAAACCGTTTCTATGAACGCAACGGAAATCCTGGCCCATAGTCAGTTAATTTATATAATAATAGTTAGAATTAAGCAGAGAAGTCAGGTTTTCTAGAAGATTCTTGTTTGCAGTTTGTCTGTTGCCGTAATGCAGCAAAATGTATTATCCTTCATTTGTTTCAATGCTTTCTGTTTACAGACTGCACCGGGATCAAGGTTACCCTGGGCGTGACTTGTTGGACGTGATTTAGCTAGTTTTACCGTGCGTTTGTCTATTAGACTGGAATTATTAGCTTATAGAATATTCCAAGATGGATGTTGATAAAGTGCGCATGGAGAAGTTGGAGAAGTTAAAGGGGATGAGTGACCAAGTGCGCATCGGTGGCAAAGGTACAGCTCGACGGAAGAAAAAAGTAGTTCATAAGAATGCTGCCGCCGATGATAAAAAACTTCAAAGTTCACTAAAGAAACTAAACCTCAATACTATCCCAACCATAGAAGAGGTATCACACTATTAATGTTTATTCAATTCTAGGTTAACATGTATAAACCAGATGGAACTATGATTCACTTCAAGAATCCAAAAGTTCAAGCAGCTCCACAAGCTAATGTATTCGCAGTTTCTGGACAAGCTGAATATAAAAGTATCTTTGTGTTTTCCTTATGTATTCTTCAGCACTAAATGATTTGTTCCCAAATATGCTTAATCAATGGGAGACAGCAAAATTACGATTGGCAAAAATGAATGGTTAGTAAAAACGTTTTGTGTCAAAATATTTGGTTCAACTATGCAGTGGTTCTGTCTTATTTAGGAGCTCAGAATAACTTTACTTTTAATGATAGGTAGTCAACGTCGGTCATCCAGTAGCGTAAACCATTTAAGGCAATAGTCAAGACTTGTAGGTGTTTTTGTGCAGGCGATTATTTATTATTATTATTGTTCAAAACATACATACGACACCGGGAACCCACACGCGGTCACTCCTCAAGCCTTTGACTTAGTAATCTAAACCACAAGACAATGAATCAACGTTAAAAAGTGCGAATCTATGGCACCCTGTGACCAACAATAGGTTCATATCTGATTTATCCCCTTTAGAAACTCGAACGTATATAGACTATTAGTGTAGAATCATAGTTTTTCAACTCCTGAATAGATGTTCCATAACCACCAACCCGGTTTAAGCACCATAGTCGATTTCGTAAACAACTTCGCGGTGAAAAGGCGATAGTTAAGTATTCCCTGGCAGTGGTCATATACGCGTGGTCATACGAGAGCACTTCGAGTGGGAAAACGAACTCCACCCTCGACCGTACCAGAGGTCTTCAGAGGGTCGTTATGATCAATCTTGCTATTGCCAAATATAGTTAAAATGGTGGGCGCAAAAGGATAAACAAATTAGCTCAGACTATCTACTATCAATACCACAAAAAGCATGATAAACAATCAAGTAACACTTAAGCGGAATTAGTCTAAGTGCTCTGTTTGATGGTCGTATACCGAAGATAGTCTGTAAAAGCATCAGCAAACGAGTCCGTTGCGTTTTACCGTTAATAAAAATGCATCGTAACTGCTTGTAGCAGTTACTAAGCCGTACTTAGTGTTTTATCTACGCCGAATCAAAGTATTCTTATGCTCCGCTCAATCCAATGTAGTGGCGGAAACGCATTGCTATTGATTTTCCCGTTTTGAACCCAAATTGATTTTACAGTTAGCAATTTACTACTCATTTTCCGCCTGAACACAGGATCCTAAAATGGTTTTGTTAAACTGCAATGTCAAGTCATGTCAGAAAGTACTGCTTATGCACTTGCTGACAGTCGTGCTATAGATTCCGGTTGGTTTTTTGTCCATAACCTGACGAAAGGCTTAAATCTGAGTATTTATGGCTTTTGAATAAGTCATTTTCATGTTAACACGCAGCAGAATTTTGTCTCGTTTATTTGATTTTTTACAATTATGTCTATGTACCCGCTTTCTCTGTGTTGATGTAAAGTTGATATTAAATTCATATTATTGTGATTCAACTTATGGTTAGTTAATTTCCGATATCCTTGAAATGTACTACAATGTTTCGTAATCTATCCTTAATTACACTGTTAACTTATTTTTAATGAGAATGTTTCATCTCCGTATAGCAGAAGTGGCTTGTTTGTCTGTAGTTTTTATCTACTTGTATTCCTTCATTGTTATGAACAGTAAATAACTGGAATAAATAATAAAAGTTTGTTCTAAAGAAGCTGATAAAACTGCTGATAACAGCTGTTTATATTAACGTATGAGGGCCTCTATATGATAAAAATAGACCAAGTTGGATATTCTACCGTAATGAATTTATCCGAAAGCTCATAATGTCACATAAGTGTTCATGTTCGTATATCAGTGTCAAGTTCTAGTTACTTCTGATGTAGAGTGATGTTGACATTTATTTTGACAGACAAAGATTAACGTATTGTGTATTATAAATGTAATAAAATTGCTTAATTAGGTTTTCTTATAAGTGTTTATACTGTTATTATTAACTTATATTTGGTTTGAAAAAAGAAAGGTTGCTTCATCTCGCTCCTTAGTATAGAGCTTCATTATGATATACCACTCTACTAATAATTGTTCCATTGAATATTAGCGGCTGTTCATGATTTCTGTATTTCTCAATATTAACTTTGTAGAAAACTCAAAAACAGATTCAAAGGCAGATGATGGAGACGATGATGTACCAGAGCTTGTGGAAGATTTTGATGAGAAAAGTCGTTTGGAATAGTTTAATAATTAACAAATGTACATTGAGTGAATGTGTATGACTCAGTCATTACTTTGCAATGAAAGTCACTCAGTACACCAATTGTAATGTACAATGTTTGTTTTTAATTACTTCTCACAGCTTTTTTCTCTGGTCCCATTTACTAGTTGTGCATTGTCAATCTGTTCTGGTAATATTCATTTTGTTTGACAAAATGTCTTATAAATGAAATAAACAATTCAATTATGTATCGACTAGAATCAAGTTGTATAGCAAACTGTATTAACATTCAAGTAAATGGGATTTTGAATACATTTAGTCTTGTCGATCATTTTAAACGGATATTTAGTGTTTTTTCGTAGAGCGGATCTTTCTCAATACCGTACATTTAAAGGAAAGAAAATGTTTATAATATTACTGTAAAATCCTATAACTGTAGGGTTTAGTGTATAGAGTAAGCTAATTATTTTTTTAATAGGGTATAGAATTTCGTCTATATTGACTTATGCTCGTTTGACTGATGAACAGTTCTATCTCATAATGTCCTATATATATACCGGTGAGGTGCTTCCAACTGCCGTCACTTAATAGGATGCTTCTGACAAATCTTAGTTCCTACAACTCCCAGGCAAGTTATAATTGTGTGTTTGGCAGTGATCAATTGTAAAATGAATCCCCTGCGTGAACGACGAAGCTTGTCTGTGTAGAGATTGACACAGTCATCGTGAATAGTCATCACACTATAGGACATATCGATTGAATTTAGAAATATAGACTTGAATTTTCATCTCAATTATCCAAAGACACTGCTCTCTGAGGTAACGTTTACTGGGTGGGATCCCTACCAGTTGTGTCCGTACTGCTGCAAATTTCTATAGTACGTTAAAAGGTCTTCTTATGCTTATTGGTTTTAAATGTTTGACATCACTATGACGAGTACAGTCTGCATATTTTTTAATTAGCTTAACTACAATATCCGTAATACGACAAATCGCTTCATATGATCTTTTACAAACTAATAGTGTCATCAGTTTACTCAAATTAAAGAGACGAAAGTGTAAAGCGAGTAAGCGGTTGCAAACCTATTTCAACCTGGAGTGAACATTACCTAAAAGGATCCGTTGGCTGATATTAAACAAAAGGATTTTAGGGAAATGAATAGTACTGCACAATTTCAATCTATTTGATTGAAAGTCAACGGACAAGGCTCACTTTTATTCTACTTGTATTTACAGTTTGAGTTCTTCCTAAATATAGTATTTGTGAACCTAGTGTCCCCCAACACACATCATTTAGTCCATTTGGTTCATCGCCAAGCCGTGCAGTTATATATCCGGAAATATTTGGTTGATCAGTGTGTTTAACTGCCTGATACTGTCTGGTAATTACTGAGTTATCCACTTTCTGTCGGTGTTAATGGTAAGCTATGAAGTCACATGTTTAACATTATAGTAAGTTCTAAGTTTTCAGATTTTCTGAAAAAATTATTGGTTATAGTCCGTCTGATGAACATGTGAACCAACTGACTACTTAGGCTTGTTATCCCTCCGTGGAGGAGCGTAGGTCGCCTGCCACCATTTTCCATCAGACTCTGTCCTAAGCGATCCTTTTCAGTCACTATTGATTCTTTTGATGTCTGCTTCCGATTCCCGGAGCAGTGTGTTCTTTGGTCCTCCTATATTTGTTTTCCATCAGAATTCCAAGTTATCAATTGTATTGTGGTGCAGTTTGGTTATCACCGTACTGTATGTCTTATCCACCTCCATTGTCTTTTCCTAATTTCCTCCTCAGCTAGAAGCTGATTTGTTGTCTTCCACAATATGTTCGTATTGAAGATTGTGACTTCGATGTTGGCTTGCAGACAGTTGTTTTGAGTTTCATATGTTCTGCGACTGTAGGAATGCGGCCCTTGCTGTGCTAATCCATGTTGTTACGTCTGCACCAGACCCTCTTCGTTCGTCAATGATACTGTCCAGATATGTGAGAGTTTCTACCTGTTCCCGAGTTTCTCCATCGAGTGTGATAGGGTTGACATTCTCTGATTGTATCTGAGGATCTTGGTTTTCCCTTGTAGTATGATGAGGCCTATAAACTGAGTGAATAAGGTCGTCAATAATAGATATTACTATTTTGTCGCGATAACGCGTTGAAAAGTAGCTATGTTCAAACTTTTCAATGAGAACCACAAGATTGCAATGCTCAGGACGACCATTAATGTTCGTGAAGACACTGAACAATATTCGGTTTGGTTTTTTCAATAATTGATTCACTGTATATTCTAGCCGATAATGCAAAAAATCATCTGTACAAATCGTTTCAACTAAGCATTCAAGGTTGTTAAAAATTGCATGACAATGAAGCAACAGAAGATCCTAAGTTTTGGTGGTTACCAGGGCTGATTGAAACAATCGAAATCAAGGCTTCAAAAGTGCATTTCCACAAACGGGGGAGTATATTGAAATGCATAAGATTGTTTTAACCCAAATTTTGTAAGATAAAGATGGGGTTGTTTTATGTTCTCAGATCATAAGTTTATTGAACGGAGGATTATGTATGCTCTTTTGTTAGTATACAGGCATATTTAACACCAATAAATACCTACTTGTGATGTGAAATTATGATATAGAACACTATCACTATGGCAACTATATCCTCGTGATGATTGGATACTTTGAAACAATCGTCTCAATAAATAATTTTACAAAAGTTTGTGCTACTATTGTCTCAACAGTTATCGATAAAATCTTCACTAATCTATGCATGATATGGTTGAATGACATAGAAATTTTATAAATCATGGATTAGACAAGTTCTACAAAATGAATTTAGTTAGCATTCTTTTTAAGATATAATAGTGATAATGACTATAAGCAAAGCTGGATGATGGCTAGCAGTAGAATCTAGGACGCTGGCTTCGTCCTATTTAAGACTCATCAACTGAATGCACCTACATCCCGGAGTTGGTGTTCATTCCGGGACTCGAACCCTCTATTTTATCTTGTGTCATGATTATTGTTTTTTATTAAAATTACAAAGCGATCTAAGCTACACATCCATTAAAAACCTGGATAGCTGTTTCTTCTTAGTATGGTACTGTTCATCAGTGAGCATTCAGAATCTCATCACCGGGGATTGAACCATGGATCTTCGGTTTCGTGCTGCATCGAGTGTGAGGAAGGTACAGAAGTCAATTAAAGGTGGTTACTTAGTATCACAGATTGGTTGAAGTTAGACATGTACATCACTGGGTGCTCGCCCAATGGTCTAAGGGTTGGGTGTTTGTGAGAATGACCGAATGTCCTTGGTTCAATAACCTGTAGCAGGCCAATGGATGTTCACTACCAAGGAGTTGAATTCTAAGACGAAATAGCTGTTTAAAGCTTCCAGGGTTTTAGTGTGATGATTGAGCCAAAATCATTCGGTGATTTGAAAATCATAATGATCATGTATACATTAATAAATTTCACCAAACCCTTTTTCTAAATACCTTAGAATACTGACTATAGTAAAGGATTATCTGTCCAATAAATAAGCGAACTGAACTATAATAAATTTCTAAGGTGATGTGTTTAACGAAATTCCCCAGGAAGTTCGTGAAATGTTAATAGTTTTTCTTGGTGAAACTATAATTTATGGATGACTTTTGAGTAACGCTAGAGTGATCTTCAGAATGTCCACCTAATCAACTATGACCAAATGAAGGTTATAAACTAGTGTATAAAGAATTAGAATTATGATTCATAGTTGATGGTTAAGGTTAGAAATTAGATTTTGGGGTTTTCATTACGAATTGACATCAACTATAATGCCAAAACTCTATTTAGCCAAATAGATGAATGAATTTCACGCTGAAATCTAAGACCTATTATCTTATACCTGACTGAACTTACTTACTTACGTCTGTTGCTCCTTGTGAAGGAGAATAAACCGCTCACCAGCATTTATACCTGATTGGTTCGTTCATAAATTCTAATCTCGCCGAAAGGGGATAAATAGAGTTTTTTATTTATTAAGAGGATAACCTTGACATAATTGTCCGTTCGATCTCATTTCAAGTATCTACTTCAGAAAGTAGTTCAATAGCCATGTTACGTAATAAATCTTTAAAAAAAGTGGATTCAGAGTTTAATCGATCACAATTTGTTACCATATTACTAATCAGTATATTACACTCATTCATTATTATCCGTTAATTGGGTTTTTGTTAGTTAATGCTCAACTATTGTAACTTACTTATTAAATACAGGTTTTATGAACTCTTGAATTGATTTAAATTTGTAATGTAAATGATTAGATACTAGTTTAGTGTTATAGTTTTCAGTTTGATTCAGATACTATACAGGTTTCACAATTGATTGATCACTGGGTGGCGATCAATGTCATGAGTGTCTAGTCCTTGTTAGTGCAGATCGAATGCTATCGAACATGTTGCAATGTGGCCACCAGTCTAGGTGACTCGACACTGTGGGCACTATATATTGAGATTAGATGGTGGTTGGAGGTAGTCGACAGGAAACCCCTCGATAGCATTCGATCTGCACTAATAAGGACTAGACACGCATGACATTGATCGCCACCCAGTGATCAATCAATTGTGATTACATCTCAGTCCTACAGGAGGTCGGTCGCGCCTTGGATAGCTCAGTGGTAACGTCTCTGACTGTGAAGCTGGGTGACACGAGATCGAATCCGCCAGGGAGCACCAGTTCCCTCAAGATTACAGGTACACCTTGCTGACGAGTGCCAAGTAGCACGAAACCCGGGTCCAGGGTTTCCTGTCGACTACCTCCAACCACCATCTAATCTAACTATACAGGTTTATATAACCAGTTAACTATAGTGAGAAAACTTAGAATATGCAAGAAGTTGAAATAGCTGAAATGAATGATAACACATAAAACTCGTTTGCTTTTAAATAGACTGTTTGATTGGCCCAACTCCACCTGGAGCCTCCTTGAGGCTACTACCGGTCCCAAGCCCGGATAAAGGAGGAAGGTTGAGCATGGGTTTAATGACCCTATCCCGTAGTAAACTAACTCGCTAGAAAAAAACGCTAAGTTTGATTGATTCATGCACTAAAGTATGATCAGTGGACACTGTGAGTGATAGAGACACCAAATTTTGTAATACAAATCAATGTAAACTTATGTAGGATCTGGTTCATAAAAACATAATCTATTTACTTCTTTACAGTTTATGCACAAAATATCTGTTATCAAACTATGAGAAATGAAGGAGTGCTGGGTTTTTATTTCATAGACATAGAGAGTTCATCATTTGTGTGTGGGTTGTGATACTGCCCGGGTGC